ATAGGTTTAGTGTTTGAATTTAGCTGAATGAGAGTTCGGCTCCCAGAGGACTTGAAAAAAATTCCCCATTCTCATTCTTCACAATTCCCGTGTTAAAAAAAAAAACTTAAAATAAACTAACATAATTTTTATAAACTCTTTTTAGTTATATGGTGATGTCTGGATAAAATATGCATTCATATGTTTTTTTTTTTTTTTTTTTTTTGTTATTTTCTCCTCGAGGAAGAAGGCTTCCGAGTCTAACACAGCTAAATTACGGCTTAGACCAACATAAGTATGGGCTGAATAAGACTAAATTACGGGCTTAGCTCAAGTGAAGTATCGGCTGAATTAGACTAATTACGGCTCAGCCCAACTTAGGGCTGAATAAGACTATTAGTCCTCACCGCACACATAAGAATGAGTTGGGCCAAGCCCAATACAAACCACAATATATTGGCGGGACTGTATCAGGAAAAACACGTTTATTGGCGGGAAATTGACCATTTGACGCTCAATCCATTTCCGAACCGCTGATCTCAAAACTCCAGAATCGAACGGTCGAAAAAAAAAAAAAAAATTCAACTCAGCAATCTTACTTCCCTCACTTCCATTTTTATTTCGAGCCTCACGCCTTCACCCTTGTTTCGAAACTACGAAGTCAGCCTCTCTTTATTTTTCTCGTTTCCTTCCCATTCCGTAACAGAGAGAAAAACAAAGAATAGAAAGAAAAGAAAACCCTCGATACGCGATGGCCAGATCCTCCAAGCGGCAGGTGTCCTCCGACGAGGCGCTTTCCGACGGTTCGAATTCTTCCGAAGAGGAGCCAGTCAATGACCAGATCAACGCCGATGAGGAAGATGAGGAGGAGATCGAAGCCGTCGCGCGCTCCGCCGACGAGGACGACGATGATGATGAGGATGCCGTCCCCGATGACAACGCTGATCAAGCCGATGAGGTAGGCTTTGCTTTTTCCCTCCTCACAGTTCAATTGCTGCTTTCTTTGGCTGGAGACTTGTCTTTGGTAGGATCTGGATTTTGCCTGTGGATTGTTGGTTAGGGTTTGATGGGAATCAGGAGGTAAATGAAGAAATTCGAAAGCCTTACTTAGGAGAAGCTAATTAGTTTTATGTGTTTGGTTGTTAGTGCTGGAAAAATTTAGTGCTAAATTACTCAGTAAAGATCTTGTTGCTAAGTTTTAATAGGCTGTCAATGGACTCGTTTCAACCTCAGTAGTTATTTTGAAGTTCTGAGTTCTGGAGGTTCAACTCTGAGGGCGTTCAATTCTGCATTTTCTATTTCTCACTTGTTTCTAATTCGTTCTTTATATGCAGGATGAGAACATTGGGGCTAATACAGAAATAAGCAAACGTGAGAGGGAAAGGCTTAAAGAACTTCAGAAAATAAAGAAACAGAAGATTCAGGAAATATTGGACACTCAGAATGCTGCCATTGATGCTGATATGGTAGGTGCTTTACATGGGAAAAATCATAGTATTTAAATTATTAGTTGTGCTCAAGGTGTGCTTTGGTTTTTTAATATGATGCTCTTTTTGATAGAATAATAAGGGAAAGGGCCGTTTGAAGTATCTTCTTCAGCAAACTGAGTTGTTTGCTCATTTTGCAAAAGGTGCCCAATCATCATCTCAAAAGAAGGCAAAGGGCAGGTAAGCATCTACCCATTCTTTTTGTCAAATTTATTATAAAAGATCATTTACCTTGCTTTTGTAATCTGATAAATTTGTTGGTTACAATGGATAAACATTGCTCTGTATTGGACCTTGCAATATGCTGTCTTTCCTTTGATCTTTGTTGCTTTAACATATTAAGTTTTAGATTTTGATATAAGTATAATCTTTTATGAGGTTATGGATGGACCATAAAAGTGGACAATAAGGAATGGTTTTAAGCAGTAACTCCTCATGCTACATCTAGTTGTCACTACTTGGCCCCACATGGTTGACGGGGCAGTTCTTAACTGGCTCTGCAGTTAAATATGAAACTCTCCAGTAATGACTTTCTCCACTTGTCTGATTTAGGGGCCGTCATGCCTCAAAAGTAACTGAAGAGGAAGAAGATGAAGAGTGCCTTAAGGAAGAAGAAGATGGTCTGTCTGGGGCAGGAAACACACGTCTTGTGACTCAACCTTCGTGTACGTGCTTAATACATTCTCTGCTTGGGATTTTCAGTTGGAGAACTCGATTTTAACTGCTGGAGTCATGTTTTGGTTGTTCTTTACTCTCTCCAGGTATTCAGGGAAAGATGAGAGACTACCAACTTGCTGGTTTGAACTGGCTCATACGGCTGTATGAGAATGGTATAAATGGAATTCTTGCAGATGAAATGGTATACACTCTAATGATGATTTTCTGGATCATCTCTTTTTAACTTGAATATCTCACTTTGGTTTTTGAGACCATGTTAAATCACATTCAATAATGTTATCAATTGCCACCTATTTTCTCCAGGGACTGGGTAAAACTTTGCAAACTATATCCTTGTTAGGCTACCTACATGAGTACAGAGGAATTACAGGCCCTCACATGGTAGTTGCTCCTAAATCAACCCTTGGTAACTGGATGAATGAAATTCGTCGTTTTTGCCCTGTTCTGCGTGCTGTAAAGTTTCTTGGGAATCCTGAAGAAAGAGTAAGTAAATAAAGCAAGCTTTAGTGATTAATTTGTATTCTCTGAGTCTCTGTTATCTTCATCATGATTTTTTTCCTAAACTCCTATACGTCTCCAGAGATATATCCGGGAGGAGTTACTAGTTGCTGGGAAGTTTGATGTTTGTGTTACAAGCTTTGAAATGGCCATCAAAGAGAAGTCTGCCTTACGCCGTTTTAGCTGGCGTTACATAATTATTGATGAAGCCCATCGAATAAAAAATGAGAATTCACTTCTTTCAAAAACAATGAGACTCTATAACACTAATTATCGCCTTCTTATCACGGGTACTCCGCTTCAGGTATGTATTTCATATAACTCACTGTGTAAATGGCACCAAGTTTTTCTATGGGCCTAGATTTAGTGTTGGCATGTATTGGTTTTTATCTTTGTTAGTTTTATTTTTTAGGAAGAAGCAAGCAGATACTGACCAGCTGCAAATGTAAATTCCAATTGCCATTTTCTCATTCAACTTTTATGATTAAGATCTTTGAAGGAATGGGAGTGGCATAAATAGGATCATGCTTTTTGGGTGGGATCGATTTTCTTTTCCAATTTTTGATGGTTTATTCTTTCATTTGTTTGTCTGTTTCGACTTGACCAAGGCTTTGTTGAGAATAGCTATTTGAAATTTTTTTCTGCTTTTTCCTAAATCATTTTACTATACCGATTCATTTGCTATTCTTGGTACACATCATTGGGCAGAATAACCTCCATGAGCTTTGGTCCCTTCTCAACTTTTTACTACCGGAGATTTTCAGTTCAGCTGAAACCTTTGATGAGTGGTTCCAGATTTCTGGTGAAAATGATCAGCAGGAAGTCGTTCAACAACTTCACAAGGTAAATTAGAATCTTTTCTCTTGTCAGTGGAAGTTATGATCTCATTTTTAATTCTGAGATTAATATTCTATCTCTGAATCTGGTAGGTTCTTCGGCCATTTCTTCTTCGTAGATTGAAGTCAGATGTTGAGAAAGGTTTGCCCCCAAAAAAGGAAACAATACTTAAAGTGGGCATGTCCCAGATGCAGAAACAATATTATAGGGCTTTACTTCAGAAAGATCTTGAAGTTGTTAATGCTGGTGGAGAGCGCAAGCGTCTCCTGAACATAGCTATGCAGCTGCGTAAATGCTGTAATCATCCATATCTTTTCCAAGGTGCTGAACCTGGACCTCCATATACCACAGGAGAGCATCTTATAACAAATGCTGGTAAGTTAACTCAGAATTTATTAATTTCTTTGGTATTGGTAAGATTGTCCATCATTATCATGTCCTTCCTGATTTTTGTTGCAGGTAAAATGGTTCTGTTGGATAAGCTACTTCCAAAACTGAAAGAGCGTGATTCTAGAGTCCTAATATTTTCACAGGTACGTTGAGGATTGCATAGAATCTTTTTTTCCTTCTTTGTCTATAGTAATCTGTGTTGCATATTTCAAAATGTCTCAGTTATTGAAATATATACCTCTTAACAGTAATTTCATATTTTACTTTTATGATGCACAATATTACGTGTCATTTCTCTTTCTTTCTGCTCCCAAGTTTACCTGTTTTTGACTTTGTTGTTGTGACTGATTTATTCAGATGACAAGGCTGCTTGATATTCTTGAAGACTATTTAATGTTTCGTGGGTACCAGTATTGCCGAATTGATGGAAACACTGGTGGAGAAGATCGTGATGCTTCCATTGAAGCCTTCAATAAGCCAGGCAGTGAGAAATTTGTTTTCTTGTTATCTACCAGGGCTGGAGGCCTTGGTATTAATCTTGCAACAGCAGATGTAGTTATCCTTTATGATAGTGATTGGTAAGCTTCTTCCTATATTTTCTTAGTTATTGTTTGTGATTCTTCTTTGGATGGGTATGCTAAGGAAATTTTGTAGGAATCCGCAAGTTGATTTGCAAGCCCAGGATCGTGCTCACAGGATTGGTCAAAAGAAAGAAGTTCAAGTGTTCCGGTTTTGCACAGAGGTTTTGAAATTCTCTTTATCTACTAGTTCAGGAGCTACATTATGCTATTGTAAATTCTGATTTTGATTGGTTTTGAACAGTATACCATTGAAGAAAAAGTGATTGAGAGGGCTTATAAAAAGCTTGCATTGGATGCTCTGGTGATTCAACAAGGACGATTGGCAGAGCAGAAAAGTGAGTGGTTTCTGTGATTCGAGTTTGTTCTGAGATGCTGATCTTCTGTATGTTATTGCATATAACACTTCAATGTTTTCTTGTTTCCTTCAGCTGTTAATAAAGATGAGTTGCTTCAAATGGTGAGGTTTGGTGCTGAAATGGTCTTCAGTTCCAAGGATAGCACAATTACTGATGAAGACATTGATAGAATCATTGCTAAAGGAGAAGCTGCGACAGCTGAACTTGATGCCAAAATGAAGAAATTTACAGAAGATGCAATCAAGTTTAAGATGGATGATAGTATGCCCTACTAATTTTTCTTTTTATATACATTTATATATTTTGTTTTTGAGAAGATATGTTATTTTAACTGCTGTTATTGTTTCATTGATTTGCAGCTGCTGAGTTGTATGATTTTGATGATGAGAAGGTAAAGAATTTGTTTTATCTGCTGTTTCCAAGCTACTGTGTCTTCTTTTCTTCCAAACATGACCTCAGTTATGTTTTCTATTTAATTTTCTTAACGTAGGATGAGAACAAGTTTGATTTTAAAAAAATTGTCAGTGAGAACTGGATTGAACCTCCCAAAAGAGAGCGAAAGCGCAAGTAAGGCTAATTTCTCTATTTCAATTAGTTGTGCATTCTGCCTTTTCTATGATTATATAATGTGTTTTCTCCTTCCAATAAACCAGTTACTCAGAATCTGAATACTTCAAACAAACAATGCGCCAAGGTGGTCCAACAAAACCAAAGGAGCCTCGAATTCCTCGCATGCCCCAATTGTAAGCCCTTTGTTGACTTGATTGTTTTTTTTTTTTTTATCAGTATGTCTTGTAAGATATGTTGAGATTAAACTCTTGCCTTTTTGCAGGCATGATTTCCAGTTTTTTAACACTCAGAGGTTGAGTGAGTTGTATGAAAAAGAAGTGCGCTATCTCATGGTATGCATGCTCTATATAAACTTTTATGTTTCTGCTCCTGTCTTTCTCTTAGTGTTGGTTTGAGGTATTTCATACTCATTTATTCTTTTATTGTAATCTCAGCAAACACATCAGAAGAATCAAATAAAGGACTCAATTGATGTTGATGAACCTGAAGGTATTATAGTTTTCCCCATATGATGTGATTAATTGTGTTCTCTGTCTTCTTTGCCTCCTAATGACTGACTTTGCTTTATCTAGAAGGGGGAGATCCATTGACTGCTGAAGAGTTGGAAGAAAAGGATAGATTATTAGAAGAGGTGATTGAAACTTCTTTATGTGTATTGTATGGTTCATTTGTAATTACGTTTTAATTACTGGCTGCTTTGCTTACAGTTTTGGTTATTGATGATCTGTTTTAGGGATTTTCTTCATGGAGTAGAAGAGACTTCAATACTTTTATCAGGGCTTGTGAGAAGTATGGGCGAAATGATATAAAGAGTATTGCTGCAGAAATGGAAGGGAAGATAGAAGAAGAAGTTGAACGATATGCTAAAGTTTTTAAAGAAAGATACAAGGAGTTGAATGGTAAGTAATCTCCAATACCCTTTTTTTTTTTTTTGAACTGGGCTATGCTTTCTTTTTGGGTTGAAACTGGTACACCAGTAGGCTTGATGTGGTGGGTATTGTAGGTTCAAGGAATTTGTTTTAGTGGTTGATTGTTTGGATTGGATTCTCTTAATTCTATTTGACACTCATATATTTAAGGTTCATGGCCCTATCTGCAGATTATGATAGGATTATTAAGAACATTGAAAGAGGGGAGGCAAGAATTTCTAGAAAAGATGAGATTATGAAAGCGATTGGGAAGAAGTTGGATCGCTACAAGAATCCATGGCTGGAACTAAAGATCCAATATGGTCAGAACAAAGGGAAGTTGTATAATGAAGAATGTGATCGTTTCATGGTATGTTACCCTTTGATCTTCTCTGCCTCTCATTGAAACTGCTGTTTCAATCTCTCTCCTTTTTGTTTGGGTGAAATTCATGCAATGTTTCAATCTGTTATGATATTCATTTCTTGAATCATGTTGCAGATATGCATGGTTCACAAGCTTGGGTATGGGAACTGGGATGAGCTGAAGGCAGCATTCCGCACATCTCCATTGTTTCGGTTTGACTGGTTTGTGAAGTCTCGCACAACACAAGAGCTTGCGAGGAGATGTGATACACTTATACGGTTGGTGGAGAAGGAAAACCAAGAATATGACGAGAGGGAGCGACAGGCCCGAAAAGAGAAGAAACTTGCCAAGGTTCTGCATATGTTCTCTCTCAGCACTCATAATCAAGATGCCAAATGCATGCATGCATGCCTTGACACAATACTGGATGAATTGTCATTCTTCATCTTGTGTTGCCATTTCATTGAGTGTGTGTGGTTTATTACTATAATTATTTAACTTTCATTGGATATTTATTTGGCATTTTACATTCCAGGGTTCGACCCCATCAAAGCGAAGTGGTGGAAGGCAGCAGCCAACAGAGAGTCCTAGTCAACTAAAGAAGCGGAAACAATTATCAATGGATGATTACATTAGCTCGGTTAGTTTCTGATTTAAACGTTTGAATTTTATGATAATTCTATCTCTCATATCGCATTTCCTGACTTTTAATTTTTCTTCTTAAAGGGAAAAAGGAGGAAGTAACAATTGCAAACTACAATTTTGGATGGAAGCCTACGATATTTTGGTATGGCATATAAGTATCTTGGTCCGAGTAGGGTGTAGTTTGCATGTTGGAATATGCTATAAAACCCAATGTCATTTGATATGGCAACTGATAGATTGTCGTTACCACTTGGAATGGCTAAAATCATGCATTAGATTTTGTAAGTTGTATAAATGAGTGTATTTAGGGATATTAAGCTACAATTCTTAGAAGTGCTTTATTACTTAATATTTAATTAACTATTTATTTTGGCTACTCAGGCTCTAATTTTAGAGCATTTGTACTGGCTTTGTTTTGGTTATTGTGGGAATATGGAGTCAGCAAGTGCCCAACAGTTTTAGGCTTCAACTTCCCTTCTTACACACAAAATAAGTTACAGGGCGAGGAAAATCTTTCACCAGCGAACTCAATTCAGGGGTACTCTGGATACCACCAAAGAGAAATAATTTATAAGGAACAACAAAAATGCGATAGCAGATGACAAATGATATAATGAAACCTCTTCCTATATGCCGACAATATCAGAGATGACACATAACTCGTAAATTCATACTGTACCACTACCAGCACAAAGATATGTAACAGCAATGTCGAATGGAGACAGCCACATAAATCCCACTAAGTTTCCCCCAACATATAGAACAAATTATGGGGCAAAAATCAGATACCTTCCCCAGATTTTCCCTGTGACAAGAATCTAAGAAAAACCCTACATACATAATAAACACTATATGTTTCATACAACATTAGCCAAGTGGAATTTACCTGCTTATATGCCTCAAAAATCAACCACAACGGCTCCCCATCCTTCTTTAACTTTGTCTTCTTCCTTCAACCACATAGTTGAAGCATTCAGCTCATACTCAAAACTACAATAACGATACAGGACTAGCAACAAGTCAACGTTGGATGGATAGATGATAGGACTCTTTATTCCCACTGTGGAAATGGAAACAGAGACAGTAAAGCATGGTGTATTTTCAATGTTTCTTCTTTTCCATGATGCTGACCCTTAGTATGATACAACACTTATACCCTTATGTTCGAAACGACATGGATTGATGTTGCAGCAGAATCAATCATTTGTACCATCAAAGCTACCCACAGCATTTGCTCGTTTCTTCTCCCTCCAGTTCTCACCCCATACTTTTGCCTCAGCAACAGCACGTTCTCTGTCGAGATCATGATTCCTTGGAGTTTCCCTTGCCCTTGCAATGTTCTGAGGGCTATCTCTTTGAGATTCCTGTCGTTCTAAATCATCCCAACCCCATCTCCTCCCAGACCTACCTCCAGTTTCACTCCTGCCTAGCTCTGCACCAGTACTCAATTCCCTAACATGATGATCCCTCTTCCTGTAATCGGGTGAATTTTTATGGATGGAGGGGGATCCATGCCGTCTCCCACGTCCAGGCTCATCTGGGCTGTCCAGCCCATCTGCCATACTTCTCTGATCATCCTTCATTCTTGGAGTAGATGGTCCAACTCGGTTACTATGGCTGCTCAGTGCATTTGGATCATAGGTTTGGGAGGCTAAATATGTGAGGGCTGTCACAACATCACCTATTAGAGGCCTTGTAGCAGCCTGTTCCTGCAAACACATGGCTGCAACTGCAAGGGCTTGGTATAATCCTCGCATAGGGTACCGACCTTGCAGCAAAGGATCAGCCATTTTTGGAAACTTTCTGCGATCCTTGAAAAGTGGACGTGCCTACAAACCCCAACCATCACAAAATAAAAGACAAGGGAAAGCTTCTTCTTGTCATGTCAATGCATTAGAAGAAAATAGAAGAAAACTAAACCAGATAGTGTGCAACCAGAAGAATTTTGAAAGAAACCTCCCAAAACACAATATTGAAAAGTTGAAAGCAAACAATACTTACCCATGCAACAAGATTGTGCTCTCCATGAGCCCGGGTATTATCAATGGCCTTGCGGCCTGTGATAAGCTCAAGAAAAACAACTCCAAAACTGTAAACATCAGATTTAAGGGTAAGTTGGCCAGTCATTGCATATTCTGGAGCACAATAACCATATGTACCCATCACTCGAGTGGAGACATGGGTTTTGTCACCAACAGGACCCAATTTTGCAAGACCAAAATCCGATAGCTTTGGGTGATAGTCTACATCAAGAAGGATGTTGGAAGATTTTAAGTCCCTATAAATTACAGGAGGATTAGCTTTATCATGCAAGTACTCCAATCCCTTGGCTGCACCAGCTGCAATTTTCATTCTTGTATTCCAGTCCAGGGGCTCCTTGTCTGGTGGAAGATCTGACAAACATTCGAAAAAAGAGTAATCAACATGCTAATATCTAGTTCAGCCTTTCATATGCATGCTTCTAGTGAAAACTTCAAAAATTGTAAATTGACATCACTTAAAACCCACATTCAACTAGCACCTTTCAAATGTTGAATTCAATAGTGATAACATAATTAGTTATAGTATCATTTATTTATGGTTAAATAAGCTGCAAAAAGGAAAGTTCATTTTTTTAACTGAAATACAACAGGTAAAGTTTTTGATTCAGATCTTCGCCCATTCACATACATGCACATAGCTGTGCATGCATACCTCTCATAATAATTGGCGTCGAAGTAATATGTTATATAGTATTGAATTACTAATTTCATTTATACTAGGAGAATTATGTCTAAATGTTAGACTTTCAAAAAGAAAGAACTATAACAAAAATGCTTTTGTGAATCAGCTTGTTTATCATCATAGCCACCAAGACAAGACTTACAAATAGCTGCCTAGGAAACTAACTTGAGAACTGTCATGCTCATCTAATTAGACATTTATTGATATATTCAACATAGTTGTAAGAAGAGAGAGATCTAACTATTGCAAAGAAATATGGTTGAAGACATCTAGAAAGGTACAAGATAAGAAGAATACTAGCCCCAGCTAATAAGGAGAGTTCCATATCAACCATGAAAATATATCCAAGGTATCATTCAGATGTTTGGTCTTATGGATGACCCAGAAGATGTAGATGAATTTTAGAGTCTTAGATGTTTTCAACTGATGACCAATGACATTAAAAATTAAAAGATTATCTCACAATCAGTATTACAATGCATTCATCAAAATGTTAATTGGTTTGAAACTGATCACCAATAAAGAATTTCAATTATCCAATGTATTTATATCATGAGACAGAACTCTATGCATGTGCCAAAACCTTTAACTGCCATTCTAAGAAAATTTGCACCAAACGAATATTCCTTGGCTTCCTTACCAGTTTTGGAGCACAAAATGTTGGAGAAGAAGAGTCAACAAACAAAATATTGTAGCAGCTTCTTGGACTGGAAAGTAAGAATAACATGAAACTAAAAATGTTGGGAACAACATTTCATGCAGCAATATGAGAACCTGACTAACCCAAGTGCATATTCCAAGACTAGCACATGCATTCAACTTAACATATAGAAAATGTATGATGTTAATTGTGAAAATCCAAGCATTACCGTGTGAGTACCAATGGTATTCATAAGCCCAACTATTGGACCAAATTGTACCAACAACATTGATGTCAAATTTAACAATTGCCCCTGAAGTTGATTATTATGTATTTATTTAACCTTATCAACAGCTTAGCAAGCTATTTGGTTTATAATTCAACTTACCAACTGACCACTATTACTAAAACTGTACTGCAGGAGGACTGCCTAAGAGTACAACGATGCTAAATAAAAGTACTTCTTCCCTAATCTGTAATACCAAAACAAGTTCAATTAATAAGACCTAAGTCAACCAGTAAAAAGTCTTATGAAACCCAACATAACAGAGACAATTATCTTAATTATCACATCAGGGCTTTCTAACAGTACTGTGCCCCAAGACACATCTTTTAACTTCTCTCATGTTGGAGCTCAGAAGGATATTCAGTTAAGGTGAATTTCACCCCTTTCTGTTAGGACTAATCAACATCTTAATGCCTTGTCATTAATAGCTTTAGTTTTGTGTCCAATCTGATATTACTTGAATAGGGCCAAAAACTTTATTTGCAAACTGTATTCATCTCTAAACCTCTTTTAATTATGGTTTTCTTTAAACAAAGTTCAATGTGGTTTGATATGATACTCACAGTGCATGATTCTATGTTTTACACTTGGAATCTTCACTTAAAGATTGACAGGAAATTTCAAAATCCTTGCTTGTTTTCTATTTTGAATAGGGATATATTTAATTCCCTGAATTATTTCCTAAAAATTTCACAATCTGGAAGCTATATATGCCTATAAACAACTGTAGATCATTTTACTAGTTTAATTGTAACCCAACATTGCTTTATCTCATAGAAAAGAATACATAAGGTTGCCGAACACCTCAAAGTATGGTTTCCATGAATCTCTTAAAATATAAGGACATGTACTATGTTCAAGGTTACACATGGGTACTATTGGTCTTGTGATTCTTACTCATTGAAACCCCCTCACCCTACAGCAAAGACCTGATAGAATGAATTATTGTCAAGCTATCAGCATTACATGCTGCTTCACATACTTGCCTTTCAGACCCACTCAACTGAAATCTTGGTGCTAATGTATAGAATACAACTGATTCTCATGAGCAGTACACAATGCATGAGGACCTGAAATATTTTGAAACAACAAAATGGTGGCAGTTTCTGTAGTCATGAACTACTGCTTGAAGTGTCATAATTCAATTTTAACCTTAAAATGAACAAATACTTGCTTACCATCATAAAAAGCTAAAAAAAGGCCATGGAAAAAATAAATAAAATATCCATTTAACAGAAACTTGTGGTAGTACTAAAAGGTAATTTTGGGGTGTAATTTAGTTTTCAAGAAGAGAGCACAATCAAGCTATACACAAGACTAGATGAACAAGAGTATGGGCAATTTACCATGTAAGTGATCCTCCAAGGAACCTAAAGGCATAAACTCATATACAAGGAGGCGTTGGTCACCATCAGCACAATAACCAATCAAGTTGACGAGGTTTGGATGGTGTAACAGGCTAAGCATTAGAACTTCAACCAGAAATTCTCTATTTCCTTGAAGGCCATTGCGGTCAAGTTGTTTCACTGCAACAACCTGTGAACAATAAAAAATAGACAATCAAAAAAAAATTATGAATTAATAGATGGAACTCAATGATAGGCATTCTTCATAACTGCAATTCTCAATAATTAATAAAAGAAAAAAAAAAAAAAAAAACACAATGCAGAAAATTTTAATATCAGAAAGATCCTACATGTAGCAGACAACATAGATGTGCATAAAAATTCAGTATCACTGAAATCTATTTCAAGCATTCACAGTCACAGGCACAGCTTACTTGTCCTGTACTCTCCAAGCGACCCTTGTAAACACGTCCAAATCCACCTTCACCTAATAGGCATTCTGGCCTAAAGTTCTTAGTTGCTGCAGCAAGCTCTCGAAATGTAAATGTTTGTGCAGCAATATGTGCTGTTGGTTCTTTGGGAAGTGCAGGTTCTTTCTTAGGATCCGAGCTGCTTCGAGATTTTGATTTGTCTGTTAAAAGAGCCATATCATAAAAATTAGAAAGGCTAAAAAGGAAGGAATGGAGAAGAGGAAAACAATATAATTTGATTCAAAAGATTGCAAGACCTAGAAGATAACTTCCTGCAACAGCAAAATATATTTCAATACTATACAAGACTTGTCTTGTGTTTGCTTGTGTGTAAGATTGCTATAAACCAAATTACCTACTCTCTGTCAAGATAAGCCCTAATTGTACAGTTCACACTGAATAAAACAATGCAAAATTTATCACTTGACACTACAATCTCCACTGTACTTGAGAGCCAGAAATGTCGCAGATGGATTTTCATCCTTCCATTCCACTATAGTCGAGATTTTTTTTGCCAAGCACTCTATTCCAGACTGGCATTTAACTTTCCAAATTATCACATGAAATGTACTTATTAGCATTTAATTCTGCACAAACCTGACATTAATGATTAAACCAGAAATGCAAACAAAAGAAAGCAAGATAACTGGAGCTCACAAAACTAAAAACAGATCTCCTCAATAATTATTTTCCTGCCTCATCATGATAAAATTCAAACATAATTACCAACAAAAACAACCATCCAACTAGCATGTCTTCAATAAACTACAACTCTCAAAGCTACAAAACTATACTTCAACGGACCACTGAAATTGATTATATAACCAAAAGACCACAAATGCAACAGATCGCACAAATACCAAATTCCTACAGTTAACTATCAACAAAACAAAAGAAACGACCTCACAATTCAATATACCTAGTTCATCAGAATAACCAATTAAACAAAACCAATTGCCTAAAAACATAGACTTTTACCTGAACTAACTCCGTTGAGATGGTGAGGCTGAGTCACTGAGCCATCTTTAGCTGAATCCTTATTGCTCACTTCCTTCACAGCTCCTCCACTACCACTACCGTCCTTGTTCGATGATCGCAAACAAGGAAAACACCCATCCATATCAAATCCGACCAAATCGAACCAAACCTACAAAATCCCAATTCAAAGAAACAAACTTCAACACAAACCCTCCTAGGAAATCCTCCCCTCCATCTTCACTCCCTCACACACACACACCCCCCAACTGAAAATTCCCACCAAAATCCACTCTTTCAGCTCTTCCTCTCCCTCGAGCTTAACTCTCTAGGATCCTCTGTGCCCATTAACGAGAAAGATCGGACCATAGAGCAGATCAACAAATCGAAGAAAACACTGCTGTGCAGAAAGAAGAGAGAGTAAAGAAAGACTACCAAAGAGAAGCAGAGAAAACAAAAAGAATAAATAATTAATTACATGGAAAAAAGAAAGGAAGAAGAGAAATTTTAAATGGCAAAGACAACGCATGAGATGTTTTTATTACACTTTTTAAATATTAATTATTACAATATAAAAATTAAAAAGGTGGTGTTATAAAAATAATTATTTTATTTTATTTTTTAATATAATTTTTATATGTAATTAAATTAGTAAATGTATTTAATATTATATATTTTATATAAATTAAAAGAATTAATCATTTAAATAATATGTAAGGTTGTAAAAAAAATAAAACAAAAAAATTATATAAAAATTATTTCTCAAATTAAAAAATATAAAAATTGAGATTATCTATTAATTTAAATGGTAAGATTTTATATAAAATCAATTAAATATTTTTAATAAATGTTTTTATATGTTAATTTATTTAAAATATTTTATTTTATTTTTTAAAAATTAAATATTTTAATTAATATGATGTCTTTATTTTATTAAATCACTATAAAAAATACAAAAAATACTATTATTTTTTATATATTGACATTCTAAATTTCACTCATAAAACAACATCTATATACAAATCCACCACTTTTAGAGTTTATAATTCTAAGATAATGTTGACCTTAACTCATGCTAAAGCTCAAAAGATTCTTGTTTTAAAAGTATTATATTTTTATAAATTTAAAATTTTATTAGGGAAAAATATTTAAAATTAAATTTTAAGTGAATTTTAAATAATTTTTTAAAATAAAAAAGTGATATTAACTTGTATTGTAAAAAAGTAAGTAAAAAAATATTTTAAAAATATTAAAATATCATAATTATTTTTAAAGTGAGGATGTAGATATTTTAGTTTTTATCATAATATTTTACTAAAATGACATAATTTTAAAACATTTTTTACTTAATTTTTTATAAGTTTAACTATAAACATTATTCTCTTTTGAAAATACTACATATTTAAAGTTCTTCAAGTTTTACTTAAAAGTTTATTTTAAAATATAAGTTTTAGAATTTTATCTAATGAAATTCCAAACAAACTTATAAACTAAGGTCTATAGTTTGAGTTTTGTATATGCAAAAATAAGTGTTAGAAGAATTTTTCTTTATAAGTTTTGATGAGTTTGATTTTAAATTAATTAAAATTTAATATAATTTTTTAATATTAAAAAATTAATACCAAAATAAATAATATTTTCAAGTAAGTACTTTTTAAATTTTGGCAGGCACTCTATCCAAGGGTCGGATTGGCTTTCACTAGAGTTAAATCAGACACCCCCTCAATGTATTCCGAAAAAAAAAAAGTTCTATAGTCAAATGTACAACTCAATTAAAACAGATGGAGTACTTGAGGCCCAACTGACGTGGTAAAATGGACGTGTCGGGTCGGGCCGGGTTGATGTGGTCAATTGGACGGTTTCCATTGACGGCCGTCCATCTTCCAATATTTAAACACGTGGTGCAGTAACCGTGGTCAGTGATTGTTGACCAAAGACGCCTCATTTTTTTTAATAAAAATATTCTAGAGATTAACCGTAATATAGCATTATAAAGGTTAAACTTTTAATATACCCCTCAATTATTATACAGATTCATAATTTAGTTTTTAAACTAAAAAAATCCTGAATTTGAATTTTATTATTCATTAATTTGATCTCAAATTAATTATTTTATATAAAAATAAATGACGTGTCTTATTATTAACATAATATATAAACATTAAATAACAATTTTTTATTGTTAAGAAATAGAGATGTCAACTGTTTTCTAATGAAAGGGTCCATTTGAAGTTAAATTGATAACAATAGATTAAATTAGAAATTTTTTTAGTTTAGTAATCAAATTAAAAGTTTGTACAATAGTTGAATAAAATTAGAGGTTTAACCCATTATAAATTTATAATATAATATATTATTGTATAATTAATTTTTTATTTAAAAAAATATATAAAAACTCATTTCATGTTATATTATATTTATGTAATATAATATTGTATTATAATTATAAAAGCCCACTTATATGTTAAAGTTGGTTATCAGCACCACACCGTGGAAAGTCAAATGGATTAGAAAAATATCGAGCAGACAATGGGCCCCTCATGGGCTTGGGCCTTGTCCCACTGCAGAAAATTAATTAATTAACGAGTAATTTTGCAGGCTTATTTTTTGGTTTGGGTACATCAGTAATAAGAAACAAACTAAGTTCGTTTTGGTGAAAGCTATTCCCACAGCGTCACCAAGCAAAATGTAACTCAGACCCAAAGGAGGGGAGGGTAGCAAGGCAGTTCCATGAGGGGATGAGTGACCCAACGAAGCTAGATAACCTGCCCGCTGCATTGCCCTTATGGAGAGTGTGGCAACATAACAATAATCACAGAAATTCATGAGAAACCTGTTATCGAGCCCAATTGCTGCAACGAGACCGCTTAAATTGATGCTTAAATGTTACAAATATACTTATAGGCCCATTTGATATACAGATTTGGGCTGAAATGGGATCACTTTTTGTATACTTGAGGCCCAACTGACATGTTGGGCCAGGAATGCAACCACGTAAACTTAGGCCCGACTCCAATATTCTTCAATTCATTGGGCTTTAAGGCTAGAGAGTTTCTTCTTTCTTTTGAAATTGATACTGTACCAAAGATGTCCGATCTTATCTTTTGTGAAGAGTGGAACATGCAAGCTTCTAGCCATTAGTTTTGTCAAGATATGAAAGGTTTATCTCTATATTCCAAAAACAAACGGCAGAATTACAAGTTTATATACAAGTAAAAATACCAAACTTAGTTGAACTAGAGCCTAAAATAATGGTAACAAAAATATTTGAAGAATTTAGTTCCTTGAACTCCGAAATAGCTAGTATAGCTGATATCTGGTATAATTGTATCTGTTATGTTGGTATTGCTCCCCCTCAAGCTAGAGCATGAAGGTTGCGAATGCCAAGCTTGCCATGAAGGAATTGAAAACTATCTTTACTTAATGCCTTGGTTAAAAGATCAGCAGGTTGATAGGAAGAAGAAATTGGCAAGGGGCAGAGAACACCAGCCAAGAATTTCTCACGAACAATATGGCAATCAATTTCAAGATGCTTGGTCTGCTCATGAAACACAGGATTTTTGCTATATGCCGAGTAGCTTGATTGTCACAATAGAGCGACGTAGGATGAGGGAGATGAATGCCAAAAGTGGAGAGTAAAGCATGCAACCAAACAACCTCCATGGTGGTTTTGGCCATAGCCTGATTCTTGGCCTCTGTTGAGGAATGAGACACAGTACCCTGCTTCTTACTCTTCCATGAAATGGGACTATCACCAAGAAGGATGAAATAGCCTGTAGTAGAACACCGACTTGTTACAAAACTAGCCCAGTTAGAATCACAAAAAGCTCGTAATTGAAGAGAACTTCCAGAATAAAGAAGAATGCCTTGCCCAAGAGTTTTCTTCAAGTAACGAAGCAAGTGATGAGTAGCATCAAGATGGGGTTTCCGAGGAGATTACATAAATTGACTTAATATATTGACAGCAAAACAAATGTCTGGGCGCGTAATGGTGAGATATATTAACCGACCAACTAATCTCCGATATAGTGAAGGGTTTTCCAATAAGGAACCATCGAAAGGGGTAAGTTTCAAATTTTGTTCCATAGGAGTTTTAGCAGTTTGAGTGCCTAAAAAACTAGCATCATTAAGCAAATCAAGAGTGTCTTTTTGTTGGCATAGATAAATACCTTGAGAAGAACGAGCAACCTCAATGTCAAGAAAGTATTTGAGATGACCCAAATTCTTGAGCTTAAACTTACTGAATAAGAACTGCTTCACTTGAGTGATTAAAGAAGAACTGTTGCCTGTAATTATCATATCATCAACATACACCAAAACATAAATAGAGGTAGAACCCCGAGTCAAAGTAAACAGTGAGTAATTTGCATAAGATTGTTGAAACCCAATGTCAAGTAAAGTAGCAGAAAATTTAGCAAACCACATGCGTGAGGCTTGCTTCAAGCCATAAAGAGACTTATGGAGTTTACAGACAAGATCCTTCTCCCCCTTTCGAGGATGCAAAGGCCACTGTTTCACAGCTGCAATGGCTAAAAGAACACGCACTGTCACTAGTTTAGCAACTGGTGCAAATGTATCATGATAATCAACACCCTCCACTTCAGTAAAACCCTTGGCAACAAGACGAGCTTTGTATCATTCTATACTACCATCATATTTTCTTTTAATTTTGAATACCCATTTGCATCCAATAGGCCTTTTATCTAGTGGCAAAGTGACTAAAGACCATGTGTTGGTGTCTTCCAAAGTAGTAAGCTCAGCTTGCATAGCCTATTGCCACTTAGGAAACTTTACAGCTTGATAAAAAGTAGTGGGTTCAATAGTAGAGGATAAAGAACTAAGAAAAACACATTGTTTACCAGAGAACCGAGAATAAGAAATACATTTGTCAAGAGGAAATTTTGTACCTGGAGACGTAGAAGTTGATTGATCTTGAGTGTTGAAGCAATGATAATCCTTATATTTGGATGGTGGCTGAATATGATGTTGGGAATGTCGTAAGAGAGGAACACAATCATGTTGAACATGGTAGCTAGTACTCAGGTCATCTACTTCTTGTGTTTGAGGTAATAAAGGGATATAAGAGATGGATGGGGAAGCTGTCGGTTCATTTGTTGTATTTGGTGACAAATTAAAATAAATGAGATTTGGATCATGGATTGGAATAGGCAGAGACTTGGCATCTTTAGTCACAAAGAAAGAG